CTACGTCGCTTCTTGCCTCTCAATGTACAAATTAAGCGTCAAGGTTCACGAAGTAGTCAACGTTTTCGAAAAAATTCTAGACCCTTCCAAATAATACTGGGTGCTGTACAATGCAGTAATTGATTAGATTTATGTTCTTACACCTATACTACTTTCTGTCTTTTCATGTGATCCCCAAAATGCATTTCTATAATCCCTAATACACGTCCGTACGATCTGAGCATCTCAAAAAGTTTCTTCAGTATAAACTTTTTCCTTGATTCGTTGATAGCTCACGAGTGCAATTCTTTCTTCGCGCTCAAGCAGCCGTCAGAAGAGGTCGACGATGGAGCAGAAGATCTTGGAAATGAGATAAATGAGAATACGGAGAGAAAAAAATCAAAGAAATCATGGTGCATTCATCCACTGCTTGCGAACAACTGTGGCTATTAAACAAAAAACAGCCAAACAGGCAACCAGCGTCGTCCTGGCGCCGAAAATATTCGCGACTGACTTCCGACCGGTTTCGTCAACGTTAAACTCGTAAAGAAATTAAGCCTCCTCGTCAGCCAAGTCAGTCGAGAATCCAAACCACATGAGGAACTGGTTGAGGGCCGAGAAGTGCGCAAATGTTCGTTCGCCTGTCAGCCACATGCCACGTGTACATTTGACGAAAAGGATTGAAAATTTTAAAACGCGCGAGTGGCATGGAACAGTTGAATGCTGCGGGCTTGCTGATGCATGTAACTGGACTAAGAGTGTTCTCTTCATCAGAGCCAACGCTTTCCTCTATCATTACTTATATGCACAGAATCATGACTTAATTTCAGAACAAGGAATATGCCAAAATGTGCGTCCAACTTCCTATACTTTCAATGTATGATTTTTTTAAGAAAAGACACAAACCCATACTGTCAATATAAATTTCAAATTTTATAACTGCATTCTGAACAACATTTACTACTGAGTCAATTTAACCGAAATATTAACAAAGACCTCATAACGAAAAGATCACTATGCTGAAATCTACACTATGGTTACTAAAGCAATGAATTTCTACAACCGTGATACAAACACCTACCAAGGAGGATAAGATTCATAATCGTCCATTTACTTCGAAAGTCGTTTACTTAGCGTCTGTGCTACGTTCGTTTATTAAGTCACTGATACCCGTATCGTAATTTCAGTCTCCAACATGTGACATAACCTTAGACTCGACATTCTAAACGCATATGACATTTATTTTTAGGACATCTTATGCTCAGAAAATATCTGAAAAATTATTGTGAAATCAGGCACGCATATTTCTGTATTTTATTATTGCACTGGTCTTGCTATTCTTTCACGACGTTGCATACGCTGCTTAAATTTCTGGCACGTTAGAA